TTTTAATTGACAATTGCACAAGCATGAATTCTAAATCTTGAGCAACATTGGTGGGCGTTGCGGATAGGGTCGGACGTTTCTAGTACCCGGTGCCGTTAAGAGTGGATAAACAGACAAACAAATGCACAGACAGACAGACAGACAGATCAAAATTTTTGCGTCGAAGGTCCCCAAGAAAGACTATCGTGTATAATAATTTGACTCCTTTTCCGACACCAAGATTGCCTAAGGCTAGTGTGCATCGGAGTTTCAAGCACTGGAGTGGCTCCGTGGTAGAATAATGTCTTGGCACGCAGAAAACACTAGTTAAAATTCGTTTGCCAAGCACCGGTATTGCTCTGAGGTATAATACTGCTTTGGCATGCAGGGGACCCGGGTTCAAACCTATTGTCTCCTTGGCGTTTCTTATTTATACAGTTTTTTTTTCCATTTTGCGTGATAGTGGTTATGGACCCTGGCAGCCACGGCGGACAACTATGGCGCATGGCATCCTTGTTGTGGTCTCATAACAGGTCCCGCTGTAAAAAAGCGGTTTGTACACGCAACTACACTTCGGCAAGCGACCCTACGGCGAGCGGCAGGTGCAAGCGTTAAACAAAAATTCTGCTCGGCGAAGTCAAGCACATGAAAAACTTTAAAAAAAGTGAAGGACAAAAACATTAATAAAAAAGTGAGCGAAAGCGAGAAAGAGAAAGAGGGAGGAGAAGCTGTTGAAAAAAAAGGAAGAATAACAAAACAAAATAAAGAGATAGTAAACTAAAGAATAAGAAAGATACATACACAAAAAAGAGAGAAAAGCCAGACAGCGATGCCAAAAAGTAAAGGAAGAGAGAAATAAAGAGAAACAAATATGGAGAGATGAAGAAGCAGTGAGAGGAAGAAAGAGATGGATGAACTGAGAACGAGATACAAAGAGAAAGAGTTAAAACATGCGACACAGAAAAAAAAAACAAAAAAAACAAAGAAAGTGAACACATACAAAGAACAGACAAAAAAGAAAAAGAAAAACAAGAAAGAAAAAACTATAAGAGGTACAAGCTAAGCCACCCGGCTCTACTGTCTTTTGAAGCTTCGCCACATTAGTGTGGAGATGCCGTAATTGTTTCATTGCGCATTTTGAAACTTTCAGGATACAATTTTGATAAAACATCACCATCCGATATGTTGGAAGCCCAATATCCACGGAATTGTTTATCATGCCGAGAATATCCCCGCCATTTTCTCAGGTGTATTACACAATAAACAAACGTTTGCTATAAAGAAATTCGTTATTTGCTCTTACCCTTTGCGACAAACAATTGTTGCAAACATTCCTAAAATAGGTTTCGTGAAAACTTTCGTGCAGCTTGCCTTGATTCAATCTACGCAACACATTATTTACATCTTATATACAAATAATCAGCTGAGATAACGTAACCCAAATACTATTAAGGCAGTTTACTGGCGCATGCGATACAATCAAATACCCTTATAATAAAATAGTTATTCATGCGCTCAATATAATTCTGCTAGGCAACGCCAGAAACTCAAATACAGAGGAGAGCTAAGCTAAGCACTTTTCCGGTATTTCTGACATTTCATTGAGTAAACGGCACATCTTTCACTGCCAACGCATTGCAATAGGGCAGCTAGGAATACACATATAGTTGTAAAGGGGGGGGGGGGGGGGTCAATACTATTCCATACATTTCTATGGAAGCGTGGCCTGCCCGCTTCTGTTGTGGGTTTTACCAATTTAACATATATTTATGTTCAAGCAGCACAACATCAACTTACTGCTGCACCTCATCATGCATTTGCGACACGTTGGAAACCTGTTCGCCGTACTTCCGCAGGAGCCGGGCGTGAAACGATGACACAAGTTTTCTTCATGGTCAAAGTACCACAATTGTGCACGTGCCGTACATGGTCTTGGTTTTGGATCAGCACTGCAAGTGCCTTGGTCGGTCGACGTAGCTGGAAAAACAAAAGAGTCACATTTATAAAAGTAGCACCCAGACCGTCTTACGGCAAACAGGATAAATATCCTTATAAATACGTGCAACTACCAAAGTTGATAGTAAAGCTCTGAAATGCAATTTTTTCGCTTTGCTTTCTTTTTTTTTTTTGGTGGTATGCTATTCAGGTTATCAAGTAAAACTCGAAACGGACAAGTTGCATGTTTATTCACGTTCTGAACTTGAATTCTCACTCTAATTATTGTCGTGGAAATTCAGTTTATGTTTATATGTCCTGAGTGTATTGTTCTCATTCGCTTTTTTACTTCATTTATCGAGTAACATAACTAATACCCGTTCCTCCACTTTTAGGCTATTGGCAGTGTTCTAGTGCTCTCAATAAATTAAAATGTTAGTATTCACTTTACTTTACTCATCGATTTGTGTCTCGCACTACCGCGAAATTGACGCGGCCATGGGAGAGGAATATATTCATGTACCTACAATTATGGATTCAACTTGGGCCTCAGAAAAACACGTTTATAATGACAGGATGGATGGAATGTACAGAATCTCAAATGTTTCTTTTCATGTTGTGTCTTATAGTTTCATTGTTTCAACACCTCTTTGTGTGCTGCATTGAATGTGAGGCGGAATACTAATTAGGACACCAAGCCATCATCTTGAATCTTTCATGCGATGATTTGAATAGGATATCACGTATATGAATTGTGGTGGGCCTTTCCTACCTTGTGAGTAACTCTTTGAGACAGTGATTCAGATATATTTATAAAATAAATGCTCATAGACCTTGCCATAAAAAATAACAGTGCAATCGAATTTTATTACTTCCCCTTCAATAGCAGCGGTGTCTCTGCCTTCTTCATCAAAGACTTAATGGCTTCAGGAAACTCAATGCCGGTAATCGGACGAAAACCTATCTTGCTTATATTATTTCTCTCTCTCTCTCTCTCTCGCAATGCCCCTCAAAGTTCTCGCCCAAGAACACCTTTATTCAGTGAGAACGACATTCAAAGAGAAAGTACAAGAAAAGTAATAGAGAAGAGTTCATTCTGCAGTGCTCCAAGCGAAGTATTGGTTAGCTATAGTGGCGAGAAAGATGGTGTCATGTCCCCTATGTATTCACCTGAAATAATGCGAGTGACACAGCCGCCTTCTTTTTTTCTTCTCAGTCGATCGTATTGATATTGCAAGCAACGATATAACATAATGACGGCTCTTACGCGACCTCATGTGATGCCCATTCAAAGTAACGTCGTCATGACGTAAGTTCGACGTCATCTCTGACCACGAGAGACTTTTTGGACCGTTTCAGGCTGTCGCTGTTACCCATGATGGTGCCGACCCTGGCGTTTTGCATTCCGTGCGATACCTAAGACTTTCATTTTCAGAAGATATAATGGGTTGCGTGTTTTGTTAAGTAGATTTTCTCATATTAGTAGGCTTATGGGCTAAGTAAAAGCGCGAGCGCTCAGAGTGTATCTTTGTTTGCCCAAATGTACGTCAACTATCGCGATATCTCGTGGCCATCCAATGAGAATTCACGTCACGGTAAATGTCCAAAAACGCCTGTCAGACAATTTGCACGTGCTTCTTTTCATGACCATGTCGCACCGCCAGAGAGCGATGCTAAGGCGGAACAGGCACTAGCACCATTCTCTGACATTGTTGTCCAGTACGAACGACAATCACCTTTCGGGCTTCACCACTGCAACAAAACCATCAAGATGCCCCCTAGGTCTCTTACAACCCATGGTGCATCTCAGTATACCAAGAATCAGGAAGAAGTGTCAGCTGTCATGACCTATGCTAAAGCAACTGTCTCTTCTCTTTGTATATATATAGCTGATACTTTGTTTTTTTCCGAATAATCTGTTGCAATCTCCTTTAAGACTGACCACCCTACGACGTTGACAGCTGCGCCAGCTAGCTGTTATGCGTGCTGTACCTATTTTGAGTAATTGGGAGGCACCTTACACAATGGTCGAACCCCCACGACTCCTAACAGCCGAATAGTTTGTGCTATCAGCACTGCGTTGCGCGTGTACAGACCACTCATATTTGAAGTCCAATGTCTTCATATCTACTTGAGAAGAATCACGTCACTGTTTCAACGAATTACAAGTCACAATGGCGTCATAGAGAGGGAAATAAGCCAATAATGCCTCTCTGGCGGCCATTAAAGGAATACAGGAAGGCGCAATACTATTTGCAAAGTCTGATGCTCTAAGCAGTGTTTGAGGGATGGCACAGGAGATGACGCTTCGCTCTGTAGTGCCCGACAAGCAGCCGGACTGGACCGAACCAATTGTCAACCCTGCCGGTGCTCTTTGGTGTATATTGTTATTCCAAGTGGATCTCCGCTGAAGAGAGGCCACACTTATTATTGTGTATGATTGGCTGTGGAATTCACAAAACTTTATTCAGTCCACAGTGAAGTGGCCAAGAACACTCTCTGCGATTATAGTAGTTACGAGGTGACGGTACGCCACATTATATGTGACAGTCTGATCTATAGTGTTATGAGGCATTCACTTGCGTCTGTTGTACTGCACCTTGACGCTAGACCAATGCGTTTTGAATATATTTTTCCATGTCTTCGACAAACGACATTGCTGCTGAAGGCGACAATGGAACTATTGATGTATTTGGAGAAAAACGGTCTTGGACAAGCGGCTACAACAGCTGATGTCACGTGCGACGCCAGGGTGATGGACTGTGACTGCCTGTGTGCTTGTGTGTCTGCTGTGTTATGCGCTACCTTCCTCTCTCTCCATCTCTTTCCTTTCTCACCCTCTTCAATATCAACCATGCCTTCCCCACGTGCAGGGTGGAATGCCGGTTATCTTGCACTAGGTAAACTCCCAACCTTTCTTTTTTTTTACAATTTCGTCTCTGCCTTTCATGACAACATTATTATTTCAGAAGTGTAAAATACAAAAGTGTCACTAATAATCTTGAATGCCCCAGTGAGTGCTCCAAGCTTCTCAAACAATACCTTGATTTGAACGGAAGCAGGTTCTAATAATGGCGACTACTCGTTCATTTATCTTTTGCTTCAACAAGACAAGCCCGGCCGTGGTCAGTAGATGGACAAGATACGTGCTTACGCATACAAGTTGCTCGACACTTTTCCTCAGTAGCGAAACTGTTGCCGTTTCCTTGGCAACCTCCATAGACGAACATCTTGCATACACGGTGATGGTGATCGTAGTACCACCGAAGAATATATGCTCGGCAGGGTCCAGAATCTGGTTTTTTCATACATGTCGCCGTTGTATTTTTCATGCCTATGAAGCCTGAAATAATAAAAAAATTAGGGGTGCGCGACTAATATACTTTCTAACTTCCTGTTCAATTTTGTTCAATTTTTTTTGAATAGGTAGTATTGAAAATTTTTAATAATTCCACAGTGGGAATAATTAAAACGTCCCAAACGCCAATAATGCAACGTAGTTAGTGTGGGGTCGCTGAAGCTGACAGTAACGTCATAGGAATAAATGTTAAAGCTTTCACCAGTAACCCATTTCAAAAAGCAAGAACACGTTAACTTAAAGGAGAGTATGTTGTTTCTGAAAGTAAAAGAAATGCATGAGAAACAGGTCATAGTTAGTACAATTATTTTCGTACATGTGAGGGTACATTCCGTTGATTGATTGATTGATTTGTGGGGTTTAACGTCTCAAAACCACCATTTGATTATGAGAGACGCCGTAGTGGAGGGCTCCGGAAATTTTGACCACCTGGGGCTCTTTAACGTACATCCAAATCTGAGTACACGGGCCTACAACATTTCCGCCTCCATCGGAAATGCAGCCGCCGCAGCCGGGAATCGAACCCGTGACCTGCGGGTCAGCAGCCGAGTACCTTAGCCACTAGACCACCGCGACGGGGTAGGGTACATTCCGTGTCACCTACGTTGCCTATATGTGGGAAAGTGTTAGTTTTAAAGTCATGCTCCTCCTGTGCTTGCTTTCTGCTTGAGTTAGAGTGACAGAGGGCCTCCTTCTGTTTACCTAGGCTATTGAATTCGAAGATTTTTTTTTTTTTGGATCACAAGGTGTCGAAGTGTCCTGCTGTACAATGTTATCTGCGACTCAGCCTGTCTTGCCATGGGCCGAACGGTCCACCCATTCCTTCAACTCTTAAGTGCGCCGGGCGCCAGGTTACACCACCATGTACTGCGAGACCCCTCCCTCCCCCGAGTATGCGTAACATGAACTCTAGTAACATCCCACCAAGAAAATACCGACAGCCATTCTGTGAGTTCATCAGAATAAAAGTTGATTCACACCTGGCTTCGGCTACGCATATGTCCAAATTTATGGTGGTAGCTACGGCAGTTGGAATTGATCGTGTGCAAGTGGACAATGGAGTGATTTTCTAACTTTTGGTTAGTCACAACTGCAGTGAAGGCCGGGACTGTAATTACGTTTTGGTGGTAGAGGCTCTTGCTTTAAAGTAGGTAGTACCATGGCTCCGCTGTTTTTGTAGGTGGCTGCCCGGATGTATATCTGTATGACGTAGGGGTGGATGCATGTTACATAAAAAAAAGAAAATCTAGGCTACGTGAATCATTTTTGAGATTTCATGTAGTCTGACCACTATTACTGTGATTTCACTAGTGCAAAACTGTGGTGAGAGTGGGTCGCCTGATTGCTTTTAGATTCTGAGGTGTCCGCTTACGTTACTCACACTTAGCCATTAGCGTTGCCACTGGATATTTCTTGTATATGCCTAATTCATAGAACCACACTTGTGTTTTCAGTTGGGGTGAGTACCGCTTTGCAGGCTATTTTGATTAGTTTATCTACTTTTTCAATTTCTTGGTGCCTCTTAGTTTAAAACGGCAGGGCATATGTATATAATTCGATGATTGACAACGGCTTGTTCTAAATTTATAGTGTTCACTTCAGTCATGCCCTCTCGGCTAATGACGACTCTTGGAATAAACTTTTATGCCCTTTATTGCACTGCTTCTTAAATGAAAAGTTGAACGTCTTGGTAAACCGACGGACACAGCGTCCAAAGACATGTACACAAGATAAGTTTTGACAACTCCACAAGCTGCCACTGGAAGCATACAGTTAAAAGAAATGTATTTTTAAGACGCATGAACGCTTCTGTTGTGCTTTCTTTGCGAAATGTTCACAGTTCTCGTATCTGTGTTCTGGCAAGAAAACCTAAGATTACATGATCTTGCGTGTATTATGATTTAGTACATATACTTACGTGAGCACGTAGCTTCGCATGTAGTTTTACTTTCAAACCTATTGCTGTTTCCCTGGCAGCCTCCGTAAATGAATGGCTTGCACACGAGGTCATATGCGTCAAAATACCAACTGGGAACAGAGGCACGACAGGGTCCCGGATCCCGTGCTTGCATGCAAGCATTCATCTTAGTTCTGTTTTCTAAGAACCCTGTAAGAATAATGCGACATCAGTGAATAACATTTTGGCTATGGGCGGTACTAATTGTGTAAACTTAGCAGCGTAAACGAACATGACATTCAAAGAGTGGAACACAAACTGGCCTTTCTAAGTCACCCTCTTCCTGTGTCCTGTTAGTTTCCCCTAACAAGTTTACATAGTCAATGTCCTAAAGTATGTTAACAAGCAACAGTTGCTTCGAACTCACTCAATCATAGCGGCACGACGAATATAACGTCTGCGATATGATATTTTTGAAGTGTGTTGTGCGTGCGTTCTGAAGTAAAATGAAGCCAAACTAGGTATGCAGACATTTGAATTGACTAATCGCTTCAGCATGTTGTATGTGCAAGTGAGAACTTGCTTATATAATTCGTGTTAACATACGTTTACGTAGTAAGAGAACATGCTTTTTTAAAACATGATTACACCGAAACCTTAGCCTCATATCTCATAAAAAATCGTACACATAAAATTGAAGAAACAACTTACCATGCACGTGGAAAACACAGGCAAGCTGAAGGACAATGAAGCTTGTGCGCTTCATCGTCAAGCTCTTTTCGAAGAAACGCGACAAAGCAATGACTGCAGCCTTCAGCACAAACTGCGAAAAGAATACTTCGCTTATTCTGGCCTTGCAAGCGCAGTTTTGAAACACCTGCAGTTGTTCATGCGGTGCAATTCTTCAATGCCATTTACTATGAACTGGCCCTACTTTTAAAACAAGATTCGCAATGAAAAAGCGGGGAACCTGGAATTTCATAAAACCAGTTCCACCGGCGCATTTTCGTGGAGGCGCATTTTAGTGGAGGTGTGGAGGCGATGGCTTGCATTAATCGGCACTCAAAAAGTGTAATCGGCCTGACAGTTTGTGGAAAGTTCAATGATTGGTCAACTCATGGGCTCATTGATGCGCTATGCTCGCATACATAAACATTGGAGATTTGCTTTTCACGATTTCAACTAGTGGTCCGTCCAGGCACGGGAGCTGATATATCGGTAGAGGTAAAATGATGGAGGGGCGCTAAGTGAGGCATAACGCGATCTTTTCAAAGAGATCATTTCACGGCAATTCAGGCGTAGCGTCATTGTCAACACCATTGGTGGTGAAGGAAAAATTGGCGTTGTCCGTGACGGAAAACTCCACAAAGGTTCAAATAAAATAAGCAACACCATTTTTTGAGCCATAGTGCACAGAAGTGGCCCAACACTCGGCTTACGCGGCGGAAAATATCGGCTCCTTTGTTGCCCGCGTTGTCTCCCTCACTGCAGCTGCTGAGCAATGGTACGAAGGCTATTTTGCGTACACCTTGGTTAGAAAACTGACCATACTGTGACAACTGTGGTGCTTTATAACCAGTGGAACATATTTTGCTAGTTTGCCAGGCTTGTGAAATGCTAGATTACATGAAAATACTGGGGTTCTGCAGCAGGCCCACTGCATCAGGCTTAAAAGCGGCTGACAGGTTCCAGATATGGGAGTAGCCCGCCACGTGCTAACGTGCGTTTAACCCAACAACAATAAAATTCTGCACCCAGACACCCGGCCTTCTGACGTTTTACCTCAAACTTCAAGCGTTTTGCTCTTGAAGGTCAAACTAGGAACGCAGAAAGGGCGCTCTTGAAAACTGTTCGCGCTTTCTGCGATTTGTTATTTCACACGATCATTGTATGTAGAAATATTTCATTCACGATGCTCAGTTTAGAACAAGGGCCGCCATGCTCCGAAAGTAAGTGTCTTGATCACTGTGCCGCACACCAATGCATGCCAAATCCCAATGCATCTGTACCAAGAGTGAGGGAGAAAGAATATCAGAAAGGTACGGGGGTTAACTGGACTAATTTTGTACCAAATCAGGCATTGCACGAGCAATATGAATGCGTTGTACCGGCGTTACAAAACAAATGTAGATGTAAAATGCTTTCTTGAAATATGTCCCCACAGTTAAAGAAAGTGATGATTTGTTTGATTTAACGTCCAAAAACCACAATATGATTATGAGAGACGCCGTAGTGGAGGGCTCCGGAGTTTTCGACCACTTGAGGTTCTTTAACGTGCACCCAGGAAAGAAAGTCCCTGTCAGGGATAATATGTAAAATATCAGTTATAGAAACTCTCACCTCGAGGCTTCTCTCTCTGTTTCATAGACCCTGACGTAAAATCAAGCCTGCCACGTCACGTGTGTGAGCTACGTTTGTGAGCTTAATTTGACCACTGACTCATACTGTGACAGCTTTGGTGCGTTTAGAAGCAAAGGAATATATTTTTTTAGCTTGCCAGGCATACACAGAAGACTGATCTTGCTTCTAGAATAGGCTTAACTTCCCACTACTTACTAGATATCGCGACAACACTTGGACCCACTACTTCTCCACAACTTCACATTTTGAAGTTTTCATTGAGATCCTAAAAAAATTACTCTAATTCATGAAGTGTAACATCACCACCACTACGTGAAGACAGGCACAAGACACAATCCTCACATCTTTTTCCCCTTTACCTGCCCTCCTCCTCAGAGGGCCTTTCTGCCTTCAATTCTTCGATACCCTTCCCTTAAGAGAGTAGCATGTAGGCACCTTCGTATACGCCAACAGAATTCTCTGTTCACATTAAAGAGCTTTGTCTCTCTCTCCAACTTCGAAAAATGTCAATGCTGGTGTCAAAAACGCGTTTCAATTGACGTTGTCTGCGCCTTCAGGTTAGCTTTGTACGCTAAAGAACACTAAAAAGATGAGAGGTGCCCTGACAATTCCAAACGATTCAACTAAGATCACAATAGAGTAGTTTTCTGAAGTAAAACTACAAGCTTCGCACAATCTGGGAAAACGTGTAAGAAGATTTTGTGCACATCCTTGTTCCACTTATTTCAATAGGGTTCCGCTGCTTAATGAACGGCAGCATATGAGCGAGTTGGCAATTCATCGTCTGGCAAAAAATTAAGGGACCATAAAGTTTCGCCATTTGGAATTGACTGGATAGCAACATTCTGTTCCTAGTGCATATTTTAAACACTAAGTGCATGAAATCTTTTTGAATTTGCTATGCACCGACTAAACGTGGCCTAAAGGGGGTAGACGCAGTAGCGTGTGTGCTTTTTGTAGTGGGTACAGGCTTTCAGCCGCGGAGCCATTATGATAATCCCCTATTCTGACGCCCTTTGGCAATGCACGCTTGAACCAAATAATATAACTGCAATATTTCATGTTACATTGTGAAGCTTGCATACAGAACGCGTGTGTTCGTGAAGCATGAAGTTTACTTTCACTGTATTTCCAAGCAGAAGGAGTTCTCTTCACTGTTTTCACATTAAGAGAGAAAGGAAGAAGCCGAACCAATCGGCTGTGTTTTAATATGCTCTCTGCTGGTAACAGCGTATCGGCCAACGGCCGAGGGTCATCGACTCCGTTTCATGATGAAGACTCAAGCTCTAAAGTCGTCCTGCCACGTCTTCCAACCGGTAACGACGTTTCAAATTCCGTTTTCTTTCATGTCGACTTGAATGGTAGGCCGTACCATGCCCCAGACTTCCGTGACGCGCTGCTTAAACAGCGGACATCATAGGAGTTGGCCAGTACCAAATGAGCCATGTATGGATGGTTACGTGTGCAAGCAACATGGCGAAAGAGAAACTCGTCACTTGTGGTGAGCTCTGTGTAAAAGGGCTGAAGTGCATGGTGCTAGATCCGGAGACCAAGAATATTAGGCTGAAACTCCTTTGGCTTCCGCCTCATCTTGAATTGCGACGTGTTGAAGAGGCATTCCAAGCTTACGACGTTGTGAAGTCCGTTGAGAGAGAGGCATTGAGATTCGCAGGAATGGAACAATGGATGACAACAAATAGGGACGTTGCCTTGGAGCTCAAGGACACCATCACTGTGAGCTCAATACCACACCTTTTGTCAATCTATGGCCACCAATGCCTCGTACTTACTCCCGGTAGGCCTCCACTGTGCCTTCGGTGCAAGCGAGTGGGGCATGTACGTGGACAGTGCAAAACACCGAGGTGCTTGCAGTGCCAGCGATTTGGTCACTCGTCGGATGCCTGCTTGTCGACTTATGCCAACAAACTCCGCTCTGGCCAATGCACAGAAGAGCAGCATCTGGATCATCTTATAGATGTCACTGTGGTAGTTGATGCGACAGGAGAAGCAGCGGGAGGAGCAGAAGGTGCCTTAAAGGAAGCTGGACACTTGTCCATAGATGCCCTCGGCACGCAAAATAACATCGCTAACGACACCAGTGAAAGCATGACAGGCCTCCTGGCAATAAGGAACAAGAAGGAATGAATAACGGTCAGACAAGGAAGCATCAGGCACCGGTCACCGATGAAGCAACAACGAGTGCACCAGACACGACAGAGCAAGTGTCTTCATGTGGTCCACGTGTCACCTTCTTTGGGGACCGAGAGACGTGCCACCTATACCAGTGTCCTCAGGAAAGTGCTCCAAAAAAGTGCAAAGGAGGTAAAGCCACAAGTTGCCCTGTGGCTAAAGATGACCTACAAAAGCTTTAAGTTAGCAAAATGGCTACCGCGCTAACGTTTCCCATGTGTGTAGCGACACTCAACGTACGTGGCTTGAGGAATGTAAGGCGTCAGTGGCAGTTGCACCACGTGCTTGAGCAGTGGTGCAACTGCTCAAGCACCACGTGCTTGAGCAGTAAGGGTGCTTGAGCAGTACTACATTGGTGTACATGCAGTGCAAGAGACTAAGATTTCGGCTGCTCGTGACACCGATCTTGCTCGGGAAGTTTTCGGAGACTATAATTTATACATCAGTCCAGCACCTGGTGCATCCGCTGGATGGTTTTTATTAGTTAGAAAGCACTCGAATCATACTTTGACGTCACTACATGCTGATGGGGAAGGACACCTCATTTGTTGCGACTTATCTTTTCACTCCCATAATTGGAGGTTTTTGTGTCTATGCTCCCTCCAAAGTAAATGACCGGAATGTTTTTTTCCTCTCTTTAACTTCGCTGCTAAACACTGACAGAACGTTCATAGTTTTTGGAGACTTTATTTGTGTTTGTGATGCGAGAGATCATTCATATGTAACAAATCGTTATGATGCAAGTGCAACCTTACTGCAGAAAATATTGAATGACCACAATTTTGATAGATGTGGGAGCGCATGCACCTTCCTCGGTGAGGTTCACGCACTTTCAAGGCATCTTTCATGCTCGGCTTGACCGTGTGTATGTATCTCTAAGCCTATGGTCTCAAATTCATAATTATGCTGTAAAGCCCATACTTTTTACAGATAATTGCTTGGTCACTTTCTTGGGGTCCTGAAAATTTTCGTAAAACCCCTCTAAACTGGGACCTATGGAAGCTTAACGTACAGTTGTTGCGCGAAGATTGTTTTGCTAAAATGGTAAAAGAATCAGTACAAGAGGTAACACAGTGTCAACAGCTGCCAGTTTTCGCTCAATGGGGAAAGGTTCAAAAAAAGATTCAAGTATCAGGCAATTAGTATTTCATGTAATATAGCACAAAGAAGAAAAGCTGGAAAACGCTATCTTTATAATTTACTTCATAAACTCCATGCTTTTGAAAGTCAACAGGCGGGATTGTACGTGGACGAGATA